CACCATCAGGTAATAATACTGACCGCTACCATCAGGTAATATAATACTGACCGCTACCATCAGGTAATAATACTGACCGCTACCATCAGGTAATATAATACTGACCGCTACCATGAGGCAATCACACTGTAATAACAGTTAGATTTCCCAGAGCACTAGTTCAGTTATTTTTGTAATATATACTAACCAGAACATAACACGAACATGCAACGAGTCGAAGCAGCAAATGAGTCCAATTTTATAAAACAACACACCAAAAACAATAAATCAACACACGCATTCATAATCAATTACCAGTGAGAAATGTAGTTTCAAATGGTAATCGTAGAAAGCTGCCCGATTTCTCTTCTGAGGCAAGCTTAAATTCCTCCTGCCCCCTAGTAACTACACATGCTTGCTTCCTACACACTGTGTAATACGACTAGCCTCTGCATATTTCACATAGTTCGATCTGCTTAGCACTTTCCACTACGCATTACTGCTCTAGTTTTAATGACATTGCTCTGTTTTGCTTTTGCGTGACCACACGTACAAGTGCATGGGCACAAACGCACGCACGCACACATGTATAGTAATGAATTAATACAAAGTAAGCACTCAAAAACAAGTTTTCACGAAACTGTTTAGACAAGATCAGATTACTTTGGGCAAGAAAAAACAACAACCCATCGTGCACATAAGCTGCCTTGAGTAAGCCTCGTATTATTTCTGCTGCTTGTAATTGAATATTCCAATTAAGCAAATCGATAAACAGGGTATATCGCTGACATGAGTAAAAACGCAATGCCAGTTTCAGTTTTCCATGCCTGTTTTTGTTTCATTGGATGCAGGTTTTGCTATCTTGATGCAATATTGAGTATATTTAGAGCAAACAATTCTTGGCCCTGCTCTAGATTATATACTGTTTGTGCATATGTGCAATAGTCTGCTACTTTTAACGTGTTCAAAAGCTAGCAGTTACAACAAGAAACGTTTTTTTCTTTAGGTGTGTTGCACCGACACAGCGAGCATTTGCACTTGGAAACCAGTGGCTGTATATAAGGTTACTTGGTAAGTTAAACTCGTGTCGGTAAAATCTTTTTCGTGAAACAGCCCGCAGAACGTTATGTGTAGAAGCCTATATAACCCTAGTGAAATAGTTATCCCTTATTGGCCGATGCCACGCCACCTTTAGTTAAAAGTGTTCAATATTTTAAAACGATATATATAACTAGAGCGGCTTTAAGATAATTTGAAAGCTGAGATGCTGCTTCATTATTGCTAATTCAATTAATTTATTTAATTATAGCACGCAGCTAGTCCTGCTGCGGACGTTATTGATAGGAAACAGTGCAAAAATTGTTCTTCCCGCCCTCTTCCTCATCTTTATCGTCTACATTGTTGTCGTCATCGTCGTTGTCGTTGTCATCACATTCCTCATTCTCATACTCTTCTTCTTCTTCTTTTTCTTCTTCTTCTTCTTCTTCTTCTTCTTCTTCTTCTTCTTCTTCTTCTTCTTCATCTTCTTATTCTTCTTCTCGTCCTCCTCCTTCTCCTTCCTCACCATCTTCTTCTTTCATACCTTTCTTAACTCCTCGCTGCACGCGATCGTGACAGCCACATGTGCCGAGCGTGAGTTAACGAGGCGTGCGCACATAGTTGCGGACGTGCAAGAGGATATTCCTCTTCTTCTTCTTCTTTTTCTGCTTCTCCTCGTCTGCCTTTTTATTCTTCTTCATCTTCATCTTCCTCCTACTCCTTCAACTTCTTTTTTTCTTCTTCCGTACCTTTGTTAACTCCAATGATCCTTGCAGCCGCACGTGCCGAGCGTGGGTTAACGAGACGCGCATTTGAGTTAACGATGCTTCGCTCTTGCAGGCACCATCCCGGCGCCGGTGATCTTCGGATCGCTCATCGACATGACGTGCTCGTGGTGGTCGGACAACTGCGACGAGGAAAGCAGCGGCTCGTGCTACTTCTACGACAACCATCAGATGTCGATGAACATGCTCGCGATGGCCATTGTCGGCAAGAGCGCGTCGACGCTCTTCTTCTTCCTCTCGTGGTTCCTCTACCAGCCGCCGAGCCCGCACGACGACACGGTGGGCATGCGCAGCGTCAAGACGGACGAGCGCAGCCTCACAAACCCCAATTACGACGCGAGCGCGAGCAACCTGGATGGCGTGAGCCGCGCGAGCAGCGGCTACGAGACGGGCACGGCCGTGACGCTGCGCGCAGACAGCGACGGCGACATCGTGTACGCGGGCGTCGCCATCATCGGCAACGGCGACGCGACGAGAGCGAACGGCGCGCCGCCGCCGCCGGCGGCGGAAGTCACGAGGTTCTAGCCGGGGATGGACGGGTGGTTTACCAGCATCTGTCACCAAGGCTTCAAGGCTTCAGTTGACAATGTTCTAGCTGGGAAGGACAGGTGGTTTACCAGCATCTGTCACCAAGTCTTCAACTATCACTAAGGTTTCAGTTGACAATGTTCTAGCTGGCGAAGGGCAGGTGGTTTACCGGCATCTGTCACCAAGGCGGCAAGTCGATCTCCAGTTGACAATGTTCTAGCCGGGGAGGCAGTGGTTTACCAGCATCTGTCACCAAGTCTTTAACTGTCACCAAGGCTTCAAGGTTTCAGTTGGCAATATTCTAGCTGGGGAGGTGGGTGATTTATCAGCATCTATCCCCAAGGCTTCAACAGTCACCAAGGCATCAGTTGATGACGTCTAGCCGGGGAAGCCGGTGGTTTACCAGCATCTGTTACCAAGTCTTCAACTGTCACCAGGGATTCAGTTGACAATGTTCTAGCTCGGGAAAGCAGGTCATTTACCAACTTCTGTCACCAAGGCTTCAACAGTCACCAAGGCGTCAAGGCATCAATTGACAATGTTCTAGCCAGGAGGAGAGCAGGGGGTTTACCAGACTCAGTTACCAAGGCTTCAGAGCTTCATGTCAGCAGGCATTAGCGAAGAGGCGAGTAGCTTGAGACTGCTGCCATCCTACTGGGAAGCAAGTAGTTTGAGACTGTCGCCATCCTACTGAGAAGCATGTAATGTGAGACTTCCACCATTTATTGTGTAAGCTTTCGGCTGTCGTCACCAGACTGTGGCTGGTAAGGTGGGAGTTTAAGGTTGTCGCCGTCCTATTGTGTGGGCTTTCTTTACATAACGAGGCCTGTCCAACAGCACGTGATTTTGGTAGATACTGACGTCAGCTACTTCGCTGAGAAACTAGAGTAGATGGAGATTTACTGAAATACGTTGTGGCCTCGATGGTGATAGCTGTCTTAGTATTAAAATTGCGTTGTTATAAAATGCAATCTAGATGTCTTTTTATATCAGAGTATCCGAGCATCATTCCATGTGTTTGTTCGTTGTAAAAAGAGTGGTTTACTTCAACTTCATGCATGGCAAAGTTAAAGGTAACGTTTTAAATTTGAAACGTTGTCGTCAGTCGTGGGAGCGAGTGAGATCGAGGTACGGCTAGATGTCCGATTTGTGTTTGCATGTGTGCTCACACATTCACTCGTGCATATAGTTACCCTGCAATTGTTGATGTGTTTTCAGAGACGTCCATAAATGGTAACCGATGTACCAGCCTTTATATATTAGTGCCAATGTAGTAATCTATAGATATATAATGTCAAAGAGTATTTTTAGTTCTAGAAAACGTGAGCGTTCTACTGTTATCTGTTTCTTTAGTATTATTTGCTCGTACGTTATAATGGCATATAACCATGCTTCCTACAATACATATCTATGCAGTGATAATATCAAGAGTGAATAATATTTATAATAATAGATCTATTCACTCCTGATAATATGTAATGTATATGTAAATTTGTTAGCATTTGTCTATGTTAAACTCGGTTCCGTGTATGTGCACAAATTGATTTATGCACAACAATATTTAGTGGATTTGGGTATGATTGGAATATGCTATGTGTATTTTATAGCAGGTCATACGTTTTTGTTAATATTAGTAGTAATAACTAAATGAACACAAGCCGCCCGGTGGGTCAATAAGGGGTTATTTCGTGCATATTCGGGTGCAGGCGAGATACGTAGCTGCATATGCATGATCCATGTGCAAGGGTGTATATACAGTAATCATAGTTACACCTAACAAGAGAAATGGTTTCAACAGGGTATAACAGAAGATATTAATTCTCTTGTTGGCTGCATAAATGATAAAACATATTCGTAGAGAAATGTGGTCGATTATATCGACTACTGATACGCCTCATGGTCTAATGACACAGGCTATTCATATAGAATTTGTTGTTTGTACATATATTTTCCTAATATTATGATTATAAGATTTTCGATTATATCAATGCAATAATTAGTGGTTTTGACATTTTGCAGTAATCCCATGTTAAAAATATTGCAATGTGTTTTGCCCTATATATATGTTACATTATAGAACAGCCTTGTTTTTTGAAAAGGCATATTGTCTAGTATTTTGTTAATTTCTGTTTGTAGGCAATTTTGTGTTATGTTATGGCATGCTATTTAGCATCCAATGTTCACATGTAATGAGTTAATTCGTATACGATAATTTTTAATTGAACATTTCAGAAGACAATGTAAGCGTTATCTTATCATTTTGATAATAATTTCATAAACAAGTCTGTTTTCGATCCTGCAGTGCAGAATTGTTACCTGTGGTTGTGTATGACCTAGTCCAATTATATTATGATTCAGTCATGAATAGGAAACGTTTTATTCGTTAAAATACACTATTAGCAGCAGAGATGTCACGCATTATAATATAGACACCATTCCAAATATGCTGTTTTGTTGTGATATCTGATGACCTTGGTTGTCAAGATGTATCAGAACTAGTGCCTTTATGTCAACAAAACGACGTAAAACATAATAATGCTGATGTTAGTCTGCGTTATCCATTTGCCCCAACTATAGAAGTGTATAGATAGACCTGTCTATTAGGTCTATTTAGTATATTATTTCCATGGTCCTTACCGACCATACCGTTTTGTCAGTGGAATATTGCAGGCTTTATGGTTACACTGTTACATTATTACTGCTATATAACAAGTGTTTTTGCATGTCGACCTTTGTATGTACAGCCATGCAATTGTAGTCTGGTTAGCTCAAGCTATTCAAAGATGTTAAACTGCCAATTACTCTTTGCTCAATGTTTGTTGATACAAATACAGTTAATACAGTGTAATAGCCTGTAATTATAAGGGTGTTTTGTTAAACAGTCACAATATAACGCATGAGTTATATCAAGCGTGTGTAAAACTCAGGCTATCACTGGTCTGCAAAAGGATGGTCAATGGGCATACAATCATGTTGAATAAACACAACCTATGCAAAGTTACAATAACTTTATATCTTTTTTTAATAAATATTGAACGATCGTACGTTCGCTACACGATTTGACTTTGACAGAATAAATGTTGCAAACATTCAGAAAAGTTCTCCCACCAAAATTGCCTGCATGACTTTAGACCACATCTGTGCAACTTATGTTCATCTCGATGTAGGTACATGTGTATCATTCCTTTCCCGAATAATAGGATAATCAAGCAAGGGTAACTGAGCAAGGATATCTGATATGCATTTTACGTGATTTTGAATTAATAGGTGGGTGCTATTGCACAAGTCCTGCAAACAATAACAAAGTTTTTCTGATTGAACATAAACGTATATAAGCATAGTTTACCGAGACGTGACCCTATTTAACAATGATATCGTACACTACACTTATGCATTAAAAAAAACAGCATTATTTACAGTTGCTGGGCATACAATACGAAAACAATTATCACAAAGGCATATATGCATGTTTCGACCGGTCTGTCACATAATATAACTATAAATATGTGCAAATAGAATAATATACCGTGGCATATACTGTTGCATAAATATTGGCCAGGATATAATTCATTTAGTTTTAAGCTTTAAATCTAGAAATCAGGATTACACGAGGGTTGCTGTGTAAACCGTTCACATAATTTACACCCCAACTGTCCTAATAGGCTAATACTAACATTACATATGATGACAGACCACCATCCCACAGTGATCCAACTCATGAAGCTTACGAAGCATACTCATAATTGTACGAACGTTGCAAAAACCTGAGAAACTAATACAATCATCAATGAATCTCCTGTTATATCACCAAAAGTAAATAACACTACTCAACTGCACTCATCACAAGAACATGAGAACAAGTAAACCCCAAATAACGTGGCTTCTGTCTAGACACACGGGCTCCCAATACACTAGCCCGACCAGGCTGTGCGACGGATTGTCTATACCAGGCTGTGCGACGGATTGTCTATATATAGTATTCTACCCCTAGCAATACCGTTTCTTGGAGCTACCAATACACATACATTACAACAACGTAAACTGGTATTACATCATTAGCTGCCTTCGTATGGACCATTTCAGATAATTCCATAATAAAGACCTAAAAACCTTGCCGTACAACGTTGACAATTTGGCGTGCGTGCGAAAACCACGTATAAATCCCCGACTCGACCTGATCTAGTGACCATATCCAATGGTTATCTGCCTCTAATGGATACCACTTCTAAGATATTAAGCTGCAGCCTCACCGAAGGTTAATCGGCACATGGAAATCTTAAGTAATAGATTGGTATACATTGAGTATAGATTTGTAAGATCCTACAGCGCACAGACGTAAGCAGCACCTTTCACGAATGGCGACAAATATCTTCAACGGATGACACACATGAAAATATGTATACTCATATATTTACTACGTATATAACTATATGTATGCACATATTTTCCTGCCGACATGGCAAATGATATCACGAACATGTATGCTCATATTTGTATACATGCCCATCTAGGTCACATATGTATGTATGTATGTATATATGTATAGCACCTCACTACCTCAGCAAAGGTGTTACCACCTATGTTCACACATAGCACGTCAACACATCATTGAAGCTTTTGCTACCTGCGTTCACGCATAATGACTCACTACCCCCCCAGTGATGGTGTCGCCACCTGTGTTCAAAGGTAACTTGTCACTACATCAGTGATGGTGTCGCCACCTGTGTTCAAAGATAACGTGTCACTACATCAGTGATGGTGTCGCCACCTGTGTTTGGAGATATCACATCACCACCTGGCTTACATATAACGCATCACTGTCCCTTCCTCCCCTAGCGAAGGTGTACCCACCTGTGTTCTCAGATAACGTGTCACTACCCCCCAGTCAGAATGTCCCCACCTGTGTTCAGAGATAACATGTCACAGATAACACATTGCTACCATGGCGAAGCTATCGCCACCTGTGTTCACATATATAACACATCACTGCCCCCCCCACAGTAAAGGTGTCGCCACCTACATTCAGCAACAACGCGTCACCACCTCGGTGTGATGGTGTCGCCACCTGTGTTCACGCGTAACGCGTCACCACCTCGGTGTGACGGTGTCGCCACCTGTGTTCACACGTAATGCATAGGTGGGGGTTCGTTCGAACCCCCCGAACCCCCCCTGGCTACGGGCCTGTATATGCCATACGCCTGTATGCTCATGACAACTTAACAATTAATGACAATGTAATAATTAATGACAACTTGTCATTATTAACCCCTGCTATTAGGTCATCTGTCGCAGTCATCGTAGAGTAGACAGTCCCTGGCAGCTCTGTGATGCACTGTGCATGCTCATCGTAGGTGTACGCCGACTGCAGCTGCGTAGAATAGCAGGAGTGAAGAAAGCATTCATTTTATGTTCACTCCCGAGATTACTCTAAGGTCATCTATCGTAATCACATCGTACACATCGTAGAATGTACGTTCACAACGGCGACATCTCTGTAATGCTCCGTGCTATCTCATCGGTCGCAGATGTACGACGTCTGCAGCTGCGTGGATCCGGCGGTGGCGGCCGACTCCACGTACGACGCCGTCGACGAGGCGTGTCCGCAGAACTGCACCTGGCAGCTGTCCCTCCTCATCGGCCTCTTCTTCATCGTCATGGTGCAGACCTTCCTCGTCAGCATGCCTGCACTGACCGCTACCATCAGGTAATCACACTGACTGCTACCATCAGGTAATCACACTGACCGCTACCATCAGGTAATAATACTGACCGCTACCATCAGGTAATCACACTGACTGCTACCATCAGGTAATCACACTGACTGCTACCATCAGGTAATCACACTGACTGCTACCATCAGGTAATCACACTGACTGCTACCATCAGGTAATAATACTGACCGCTACC